TCCCCTCTGCTTACAGTGTGCATTTTTTGGAGGTCATTCAAATTTTCCCTCTTCTGTGATTGCTGTAGTTTCTTTCATAGAAAGTAGCTGATCTGATGTAATCTTTTACCTTTTAAACAGCCAGGATAGAGAACCTATTGGAGTTTGCATTGTTGACAGGTTCACAATAAAGTGATGTTCTGGTGGAGGTAGAGTGAAATGTTTTTTAATTTAGTTTTCTCATTTGATACTTTAAATTTACAAGGTGTAATTTTCTTTTACGTTTTAAGGTGAAAATTAATACCTGGCATTTGGGGGCATGCACAGTGATTCCCACCAGCACCTTTAATTTCGGCTGGTGGTCTGTGAGGGGCTCTATTTACTTTCTGCATCATTTTATAGCTTACTGTTGAGTGACTAGTGAGTCACGATCAAGGCATCCTTCAGTTTAGCGTTTTCAGTACTCACTGCTGATCCTTGAAGTCCAGACTAGAATAGAGCTAAAAATCACGTATCAGCACAGAATAGCACACAGTATTTTGTTTATTTTCCCAACATTTTAGCAACTAGTTCAGTGACCACTTAATTTGCTAGCCTCTACGTAGGCACAAGCCCGAAAGGTCCTATGGAAACACTCCATGTGGCTCTGGGCTCTTCTCCGATTGCTCTGAGTTTAATTCTAATCCTCACAGGATAGATGTCAGTGTCAGCACTTTCTTAATTATGAGTATTAGAAGACGCTGTTTTGAGTCTCCATGTGTCCAATGACAAGGAACCTTATACTGCATTTGATTTTATTCTTGATTTTAAGCCTTATTTTCACAAAACAGCCTAGCTGGAATATTGATGCCATACTGTATTTTGCATGCTGCTTTCTCCCCTAGATGCATTGAGGGCAGCTGTGCTTGGTAACTTTTGCTCTCTTCAAGATTTGTCATTTTCAGCCATTCTTCATGCCCATGCCAGGAAGAGCTTCGATCATAATAAAGCCAGCTCATACTTATTTGTCCCTGTAGGTGGTGGTAGTAGTCGGAAATGACTTCAGGCATCCATCAGTTTTAGGCATCAGAAGTACCTGGCACCTTAATCCAAGCAAAAATATGACAGCTTAAAAAAAAAAAACAACCAAAAAAATAAAATAAAATGTGCCTCTGTTGAATTATCCATCCTTTCTATTTTAAACTGGTCCCTGAAAGAAGAGTTACAGGACAGAGCATCCAAGGACTTCAAAGCTTGCTGCTCACTGCACTCTGGACAAAACCCTCAACTGTATGGTTTGGCTTCCTGTCCCATTAGCCTTGCCAGGTTGAGCTTTTGTAAGAAGCCTCAAGTGGAAAAAAATAGGGCCATTGGGGGGAATGTCTTAAGAAATCATGTAGAGTGCTGTAGTTTTGAAGTCATACATTTTTTTTAATGACAAAATACCTGTGGAAAACCAGGGATATTTTCTTCCTCCAACCCTTCCTCTCCTTACTCCCTATTCCTATTCCTCTACTCTGTACTTCCTATCTTCCTTCTCTCCACTCTTTGATTCAGGGGGTACAGAACAACATTACATACAACCTCTTCTAATTCAGAGTACCCTTGAGAATTGAGATGTATTGTGTTTTGTCTTTAATAGCTAGAATCTGTTTTCAGTTGATTTCTCTACCATGCTATGGAAGCCTAGTACTTATGAAACCGTTTCTTCCTTTACCAAAGTGTCTGGTAGTTTCTGTCTAGTCATGAGCTGATCACGAAGTTGGCTAGATAATTTCTTTTGACACTGGTGGTGTTTTTTGTTTTGTTTTGTTTTGTTTTGTTTTGAGGTGTGAGGTTTTTGTGTGAAACTGGTTGGTCTTGATCTACTTTCTAAGATCACTGATTCAGAGATCAAATTCCAAGTTCAGGGTGAGAGTTTATATAATACAAAGGAAAAACTCCCCTCACTTTGCCCTTAACACTTGCCTGTTACCTAATCTTAGTTTTCTTAATATTGTCCAACGTTGGTGTTATCTACATTGTTTTTTGTTTAATTGTGGTTTTTTGATGTGTGAAATTTAAGGAAAGAGCCATTTAATAAATGCCAAGCAGGGCAATGCAAGTACAGCCAAATATTAGAGTTGATGTGCAGTCTTAGGTCCTTTTTAATCTGGGGTGTTATAGGCAGTACTTTAAATCAGAGTCTTCCTGGCCTATTTCCCTCCACCTTTTTGTAGTTACTCGGGGCCTACTTGTGCAGTACTAAAATTAAAGGAGCTGGTTCTTCTTTTTTCCCAATTGTTGTTAGTAATGAGCACACCTACAACTAGCCTGCCACTCCTATTCATACACAGCAGATATCAGTGCTGTGCTGCTATTAGCTGGATTTCCTGCAACGCAGGGATGGAACCTTGCACATGCTGGCAAGTGCTCTGCCCCTGAACTATACACATCCTAGCCCTTACAACTAGCACATGGAAGCATCTTTGTTTCACTTGTGTTCAGATGAGTACAAAAACTAACATTGTTTATATCTTCTTGAATTTATGTAAGTAATTTAGACACCCCCCCCAAAATCAAGGAGGCAAAAATTAATGCACTAGTCACTGAAGTCTTCATCTTCAGTTAACTGGGTAGGATAGGAAGATTTCTTCTTCTAAGAGGTTCTAGTGAGCATTGCAATGCAACACTTTGATAAGATTCAAGAGAAGGCAGTTCACTGTTCTTTACTGCTTGGGGGCCTGGATAACACCATTATGTACAAAAAGCAAATTGAGCTTAAGTTCAAAAGAGCTACTGTAGAAAATCCTTGAGACTTGGGGCTCACTGGGAAATTCTAGTGCTAATGTTAAAAACTCTAAATCAGCTGGGTATTTGAAGATGGTAAAGATTTGGATATTGTTCTGAAACATTTTTCCCCCTCAAACAAGCTGATTAACAGTGGTTGTTTCCTTTTCCTGATGTTTGATTCAGCTCCTGTTTCAGGTTACTGTGTTGCTTATTTTTCCAGTTTTACATGTCCCTTATGTTTCCACCTGGAATGTCAGGTGGCAATGATATCACATTTCATGTGATTTTTTTTAAACCCTTATTTACAAGCAAATTGAGTTGAACCGAATCTTCCTTGTCCTACTAACATTGTACAAATAGTGGCTTTTTTTTTATGTTGTAATGCCTCCTAATGGATATAATTTCATGCTTGTATTTAAGATTAAAAGTTGAATAGATCACACCAGCTTCCTGAAAATGTCCATAATGCATCTTTTGGAAAACAAAAAACATGCCTACTTTGCATTAACATGATAAAGATTGTATGAAATACCTGTTTTTCAAAAAATAAAAGTTCAAGTCTTTAAAAATACAATATTTAAGTCCTGAATTTATTGAAGTAGATTGAGACAGTTTGTTTTGGAACACAGAGTTTTGTGGCTTTTTTTTTCTATTATCTCTCCAAATTAGAAAAATTCTCAAAATTATTTTACTCATTTTTGAAGTGAAAATTTTAATAAGAACATTCCTAGATAAGAATCAATGCCTTTAATCTAGGGGAGGGAAATGTTATTGATCTCTCAGTTTGAGGCCAGCCTGGTCTGCAGAGCAAATTCCAGGTCAGCTGGGGCTACAAAGAGAAACCCTCTCTTGAAAAACAAAAGGCAATGTATGAAGCTTAATTTTGGCAATATTAAAAACTGGCAGACCATTATTGGGAGTAGGAAGTATCTGGCAGAGTTCATTTGCTGTGCCAAGGTTCTGAGGAAGATTTATGATAAGGGCTTCATCTGGTACATTTCAAGAGATCACTTCTCGTGGTGCAAAATCATATGGAAGGTTAGAGCTGAGTTCGTACCTGGGTCTGTAAACAGTCCAAAACAAAAGTGCTCTCAAGAAACTGCTGTTGGACTTCTTTCATCTACCTCAGCCTGAGCAGCTGGCCTTTACATCCAAGCGTTCTGAAGCAAAAGCCAAGTTCCCAAGGTAGAAATGATGGATTTTAAGCCTGTTAGTACTCCTGGGCTACTAGCAAGATGGACACCTCGCTTAGCCTGTTTAGCAGCTGAGGTCTTTTTGTCCTCAATACTGAGATGAAGGAGGAAATCCTGTGGGTTTTAAATATTCACTGGTAAGGTTTCTCTATCAACCCAGTCATAATATCACCTCTTCCCCAACACACATCCTCGAATTAGCACTTCACCTGAGCTTCCTAGCCAAAACTATGTTGTGTTAGTACCTTATCCAAGTACTCTCCACATGGTCTGTGACAAACTGTATTCCCCTTTATAGAACCATCATGCTCCAGGTAGGGCCAGGCTTATTCAGGAGCACTGTGTGGTCTTCAAAGTTTCCTAAAAATCTCCCAGTACTTTAAAGAACCTGGTAATTACTTAAAGAACGAAATGTTTTTAAAAAATAATTTAAATGTGAAATATTTGAGGCCAATATTTAGCGTGGCTTCCCCCCACACCCATTAATCTGTATCAATCTGATGCACTTCATCATTTGAATTACTCATCCACCTATCCATCTGAAGCGCTCCAGTAGCTATCTAAAGTGTGCATAGTTTTATCAATTAAGTGAAGCGCGCCACAAACGATTCCTCCAAAGACTGGCTGCAAAAGAAGCACCATATGAGTCGGTGCATCTTCCTTCCGTGTTCTCGTAGGACCTGTTACTGCTGGCGAGATGGCTGCAGCAGCTTTCATGCTGGGGCCCGCCATTCTTGCAGTCATAAATCTTAGCAGGTGCCACCGGAGTCTACAGCGTCCTCCGCCCTTCTATCCTACAATGGATGGCAAGGCACTGCGCATCCTCCACTCCGCCAGGCTGACCCCCAGAGGTCTTGAGATCCAGTCGGGCGAGAGACTTGGGACGGCGGTTGAACCGCTCCCTTTCGCTCCGCCTCCAGCGGGCCACACCCCTGTACTCTGATTGGCCGAAGTCCTTCCGCTCCGCGCAGTTTCCCTTTCCTTTGACCTGGATTTCAAGTCATGCGCTGGCTGCCGGTTGGCTTGGCTTCCCAGAAGCTGGAGTGCCATCTACCCAATGAGGAGCGAGCTTCACGAGGGCTGTCGGGAAGGGCAGCCAGCCTACATAAGCAGCCTGCGGGGCGTTCCCTCGCGCTCCGGTCGGCGAGCGGGTGCTGGTGGAGGTGTATTCTGCTCGTTGAGACTACGCATCCGTAACGATGGCGGAGGGAGATAACCGCAGCAGCAACCTGCTGGTGAGTCGCGGTCGTCGGCTTGTCCCCGGCGCTTTCCGTTAGGCCTCCTGGCCTCGGTGACTCCTGGGGCTGGCAGGCCTGATCCTGCTGCTCCCTGCACAGCTAGCTCCACGGTGTCGGTCCCTACTGCCCATCCCCAACGTTCTCCGGGGAGCGTGCTTTACGAGGCAATGACCGCGCGTGAGGAAGTGTGAGAAGAGGTCCCTTGGCGAGAAGGAACCTGGGTGGCAGGTTAGGGCACTCGGCCGCCAGGGGCCTTGTCTAGCTCCCGGGGCTCAGGCCGGAGACCTGCCTGTTCCGCCCTCTTTGATTTTTATCTCATGTTCGGTAGATTGTTTGTGTGGTTCTCCCCCGCCCCCTAACTTGGGCGAGGGTTGAGGGTCAAAGGGCTGCTTCAGAGAATTAGTTATCGCTGACACAGAATTTGTTGTAGCTGGCTGAGAGTTCACCGCAGGAAGCTGAAAAGTGGGCTCAGCGGAAAGGGGAGTCCTGGCACTTGTCTGGGAGCTGGCAAGGGGGCTCACGGGACTGGACGGATGCAACTTTAAAATGATTAGAAGGAACCGCATGCGGTGGTATCAGACGAGAAAACATTTGCTTCGTTACAGGTTTTTGGTTTGTTTTTTTTTTTTTTTTTGAGACCAGGATTTCATGTAGCCAAGCTGGCCCTGACCCATGTATCGAGGTTAACCCTGCGTTTGTCATTCTCCTGTCACAGTTGTGCATCACCAGGCCTTGCTAGTTTTACAAATTCAACTGTATTATCTAGGCAAGAATGAGAGATCCTTTTATTTCCTCTGTTCCCATTCCCCAGGGAAAGACAGGCCATATCAGAAATGAAAAGACCAACCTGCTTTTAAGTTCTGCTTTTGCACTTCTAAGAGCATAAATGCTAGCAAGTATCTACAGAACTGTAGTCACTGCAGGATTGTGCAAGATTTTCACTTTGCTTTCCCTGGCCCCTTAAATACTATCCCCTACACATACCTACACACCCTGCCACACACACCAGCAAACAATCCAATAGAGATACTTGCCCTACACAACACACACACACACACACCAGCAAACAACCCAGTAAGAGGATTAATTAATGTAAAAGGAAATTGTCACAGGAGAGAGAGGGCCTGATCACAAACTTAACTATTTTCATCAATGCAATATCACTTTAAGGAGAGCAAGGCCATTAATCTTATATTTACTGGATTTAAATATATTAACCTCTTTTTTGTCTCAGTTTCCTCATCTTAAATAGAGGCTGAAAAAAATACCTTTCCCAGTTTTGAGGAATGTCAATTGAAGTATAGAATGTAAACTGCTGAGAATTTCTAGTTTGGGGTAGTATCAAAATTAAGCATGTAATAGAAGTACTGTGACAGATTTCATCTTTACTAAAATTAGTCTGGACTGTCCTATCATTTACATATTCCTTTGTGAAAAGCTTATGGTGTCACTTGACCATTGTGTGTATGTGGTTCCTGGGTGTTGAATCCAGGGATCTACACAGACTCAGCAACTTCTTGTTTTAATTTTCTTCCTTTGCCAGAGTCCCTGAAAGATTTAGGCCACAATAGCTTATCCTAAAGGTATGCTTTTGCCTAGTCGTCAAATTGCAGAGAAATTTGAAATTTAGCCAAAGTTACATCATCAACGACGAGGAGCCATTATGGAGGACTTGAAGTGCTTCACTTATTTAGTTCAAGTAGTTTTCTTTAATTCCACTGAGACTGCCACCACTGGAGCAATTCCATTATAAAAGAGCTATTTTAGAGATTGTATGTACTGATTGTGTTTTCCTGATGGATTTAGAAGGGCTTAAATCAATAAAATAACCAATTAACAGATGGATGCCAACCACCTGAAATGAGCAAACGTAGAGTGTCCAACTGAGTAATATTCTGAGCACTGCCTCATGACTCTGGGTGAATTTGGGGATATTAGTTAACCATATTAAGCTCACTTGTACTAATATTGAAATACTTATCTCCATATTGTGAAACTTTGGAAGTATTATGTTACATCATGGACATATGGCCCAGTGCTAAAGTGACCATTGAGGATGTGCTTTCGCCGGGCGTTGGTGGCGCACACCTTTAAACCCAGCACTCGGGAGGCAGAGGCAGGCGGATCTCTGTGAGTTCGAGGCCAGCCTGATCTACAAAGTGAGTGCCAGGACAGCCTCCAAAGCCACAGAGAAACCCTGTCTCGAAAAACCAAAAAAAAAAAAAAAAAAAAAAAAGGATGTGCTTTCTCTCACCCACCTATACATTTTCATCTTTGGTGACAAAATTGCGGTTTTTCATGACTCAGCTTGTTTAAGATAACGGTTTGATGCCTTAGACTTTTACTCTCTGAGTGTTGAAATTGGTAGAGTAACAAACTCTTACTGTTGGTCACGTGTAGGCAGTGGAGACGGCGGGTCTGGAAGAGCAGCTGCAAGGCTGGGGAGAAGTGATGCTCATGGCTGATAAAGTCCTTCGGTGGGAAAGAGCCTGGTTTCCACCTGCCATCATGGGTGTTGTTTCCCTGCTCTTCCTGTAAGTGACGGATTCTATTGCTGAGTGCTCAGATGGTTCAAAGCCTGTGCTTAGAGAAGCTTTTGTAATACATAATCCAAATGGAATGCCTTTCTTACAAGCAACTTGCCCAGTTTCTAGACTTTGTATTCCTTATGTAAAGTTGTAATCTGATACACTTTAGTAAACCCTGCACACTCAAACTTTAGTGTTTCAACACCTTTCCTTTTTGTTCTTTCCTAATAAAGATTGAGGACCCTAGAATTTTTTACTGTTTCTGTTTACATTAACCACGATAGCTATGACAATATCATGCCATGATATCTCTAGAAAATCACTTGTGAGGAAATTAGAAAGGAAACACCACCATCTTTGAGAAGCTATGGGCTAGGGAGTAAATAAACACCTTTGGTCAGGAACAATGACAAGTGGTTTTCTAACTTTGGTTAATTTTCTTTGTTTTTAACAGGATTATCTATTATCTTGATCCATCTGTGCTGTCCGGTGTTTCCTGTTTTGTTATGTTTTTGTGCCTGGCTGACTACCTTGTTCCCATTCTAGCACCAAGGATTTTTGGCTCTAATAAATGGTAGGTGTCTATGTATGATTAATGTACTATGATATTAGGTGAAGACTGTTTTATAACTATCAGACACCTCATTGCTCTTATGTGAAAAATCTTACCAGAATTCAAATGAGTCAAGGATTTTCAGTACTTATATCTCTGTATTTCACTTTGGTTAAAAACTTGTGGTTTTTTTTTTGTTGTTGTTTATTCAATTTTACTTCTACACTTGAAATAAGGGTTTTTTTGTTATTGTTTTATTTTATTGGTTTTTCGAGACAGGGTTTCTCTGTGGCTTTGGAGGCTGACCTGGAACTCTCTTGGTAGTCCAGGCTGGCCTCGAACTCACAGAGATCTGTCTGTCTCTGCCCCCCCCAGTGCTGGGATTACTGCCCGCTAAGTAAGGGTGTTTTCTAAAGTTGATGTTTTAAATAATAATTACAGCCGGGCGTTGGTGGCGCACGCCTTTAATCCCAGCACTCGGGAGGCAGAGGCGGGCGGATCTCTGTGAGTTCGAGGCCAGCCTGGTCTACAGAGCGAGTTCCAGGACAGCTTCCAAAGCCACAGAGAAACCCTGTCTCGAAAAACCAAAAAAAAAAAAAATAATAATAATAATAATTACAGAACTCTTCTAATTCTTTTTTTTAAATTACGTTTGTTTATTTATTTGGGCGTGAGGGTGCATGTACCACATAACACGCATGTGGAGATCAGAGGGCAACTTCTCAGAGTTCTTTCCTACCATGTGTGACAGATCTTGGGGATTGAACTCAAGTTCTGCAAATGTACCTTTGCCTACTAAGCCAGCCCCTTAAAGGACCATGAACTTGGTTTGTCTAAATGTGTCTCTTTGATATGTATGAGTCCTCATCTGTGAGGGTACACACACGAGGATAATCAACCTTGTGTCAAGGTCAGTGGCTGGTTCTCTTGTTCAGTGTCTTACACTGTCCAGTCACAAACTTTCCTCAAACAGAAGTATTAGGTCAGTTTGAAGGACACCCAGGGGTCAGTTCTTATCTTTCTATCCCAGCACTTGGGAGGCAGAGGCAGTAGGATCTCTGAGTTCAAGAACAGCCTGGGCTACACAGAGAACTCTTTCAAAAAAACAAAACTCTTTTGGTTTTTTGAGACAAGGTTTCTCTGTATTGTTTTGGAGGCTGTCGGTCCAGCCTGGCCTCGAACTCACAGAGATCCGCCTGTCTCTGCTTCCCGAGTGCTGGGATTAAAGGCGTGCGCCACCACCGCCCAGCCAAAAAAAAAAACAAAACTCTTAATTGTTAGAATTGATCTTTTTTTTTTTTTTTTTTTTTGGAGGGGGGTGTTCGAGATAGGGTTTCTCTGTGGCTTTGTAGGCTGCCCTGGAACTATCTCTTGTAGACCAGTCTGGTCTGGAACTCAGAGATCCGCCTGTCTCTGCTTCCTGAGTGCTAGGATTAAATGTGTATGCCGCCACTGCTGCCACCACCAGCAGCAGAGTTGACCTTTTAAGCTGTGTGGGTTGGTGCACACCTCTAATCTCAGTACTCTGGATGACAGACATTGTGATATGAGGCCAGAGTGAGCTTCATATACATAGCAAGCTGTGGGCCTGTCTGTCTTGGTTACACAGATACCCAATGTTCCCCTACATTCCCCAAAACAAGAGGGATGTTGTGTTTAAGGCTGAGTGAGGTAGTGCCTTGAGGCAGTGCAGGGGTAGTTGATCAAGTGCATTCTGAGTAGATAAGAGTAAGTTCTAAGCTGCATATTGGTGGCCCACCCCTTTAATCCCAGCACTTGGGAGGCAGAGGCAGGCAGATCTTTGTGAATTCGGGCCAGCCTGGTCTACAGAGGAGTTCCAGGAAAGCCTCCAAAACAATAGAGAGAAACCTTGTCTCAAAAAACAAAACAAAAACAACAAAAGAATAGATTCTACTGTTTGATACACGTGAGCTGTTGATCTCATTTTTATTGTTATTTGAATGGTTGCTTATGACTTCTAAGATAATAGTTAAATGGTAAGTAAATACATTAACTATTTGAAATTCTAGTGGAATGTTGGATTTCTCAGAGCTCAGTATTAAGAGTGATTGCTTTTCCAGAACACATTGTGCCCTGAGTTCTGTTCTCCACTGGAGTAAGGAAAGAACACACATAATGACAGAACTAGATATTGAAATAGATTTTTCTGTTAGCTGACATTTTCAATTGATTAGTGTTCTGCCTTTGCCCTTCATTTTTTTTGTTTGTTTGTTTTCAAATGACAGCAAGTTACATAATCTGTAAAAATGAGAGCCTTTACTGTGTACTTTCTGGATCTGTAAGAACAAATTCACAGAATCTGGGGAGTTAATTTAAACTGTGGGTTAAGTAAGCACATTTCCTTAAAGACTAATGGGTCAGTGTTAGGACTTGTTACTCACTTCTCTTCCTTTTTCATGAGGAGTTTAATGCTGTTCTGTTTGGGGAAATTTATGGTCTTGACATTATCCAGACAGCAGTTGACTAACTCATAATCCTGGAGGAAAGTCTTCAGAGAGAAACAGATGTTTGGTGGTAATAGCATCCACTGGGCAAGTTTTATGTTTTAATTATCTGGGATGTTGTGGGAAAAAAGGAACACTATAGCCACAGCATAGCCTTGACCATGATCTGAGAAATCCTCCCACACCTTTGCCAGGCTAACACTACAGGAGAGAGGGCAGCATAGTCCTCAGGCTGATCCTTTTTAGTGCTGGACCTATGCCATAAAATAGCAGAGGGACAGATTAGAAATGAGAAAAATAGGCCAGGCGTTGGTGGCACACGCCTTTAATCCGAGCACTCAGGAGGCAGAGGCAGGTGGATCTCTGTGAGCTTGAGACCAAGCCTGGTCTACCGAGCGAGTTCCAGGACAGGCTCCAAAACAATACAGAGAAACCCTGTCTCGAAAAACCAAAAAAAAAAAAAAAAAAAAAGAAAGACATAGAAATATATGGCTTTCTTTCTTAGAGAGGCCTATCAGTTTTGTTGCTGCTTGCATTTTCTCTCACTGGAATTGAGTTCGTAAGGAATTTGGATTGGGCTCCAATTTTTTAAAAGTAAGTTGTGTACCTGTGTGAGTGAGTGCAGGCGTGCATGTGCTCAAGTGTGTGTTTGCCACCTACATGTACCCACCCACGTGCACACATACCATGGCACATGTGGAAGTCATCAACTTTCCAGAGTGTGTTCAGTCCAATGTGGGTTCTGGGGATTGAACTCAGGTCACCAGGCATGGCAGCATGCATCTTTATCCTCTGACCATCCTGTTGACCTGGTATAGAAGTTACTCTACTACAGATACTCAGATGCAGCTGCTTGGAGCATTGATGATGAGCACAATGCAAAATTTACTTGGAGCTGAAAAATAAACTGAAATAGAGAAACCAAATTTGTACCATGGACACAGTTCATAGAAGAAATGATTCCTGTTATTACTGTAGTTAGTCAAATGTGGCTTTAGAACTGTACCATTATTCTACTAGAAATATGTGCACAAGGGCTGGTAAAGGTGCCTATCACTAAGCCTGATTACCTGAGCTGGAAACCTGAGGCCCATATGGTGGAAGGAGAGAAATCACTCCCGTAGGCTTTCCTCTCACTTCCTCATACACTGGTGCTGCGCACTCATAAAATGTATGCACACTTCCACATAAAATAAATAAAATGTATAGAAAAAATATGTGCATGGCATACTTATGTAAAAATGTTTCTGGCCTGTGAAATCTGTCTTAAAATGTAGTTACTCTGGGGTCTGGAAAGTTCCCAAAGGTTAAAAGCTCTTGCCCCCTTTAGAGGACGGACCTGAGTTTGATTCCCAGTATAACCCTACTTCTACGGGATCTAACACCCTTCTGGCCTCTGTAGGCACCAGGCACTTCATCTGTGTATACAAACAAACATGTAGGCAACACACACATAAAACACAAGTAACACAGCCGGGCGTTGGTGGCCCACGCCTTTAATCCCAGCACTCGGGAGGCAGAGGCAGGCAGATCTCTGTGAGTTCGAGGCCAGCCTGGTCTACAGAGCGAGTTCCAGGACAGCCTCCAAAGCCATAGAGAAACCCTGTCTCGAAAAACCAAAAAAAAAAAAAAAAAAAAAAACACACACACACACACAAGTAACACAATTTTTAAAAAGTGCAATCAATGGCGATTCATTGTTTGCTTTTACTTTGTTTTAGAAGATAACTCTTGGGCTGGAGAGATGGCTCAGAGGTTAAGAGCACTGACTGTTCTTCCAGAGGTCCTGAGTTCAGTTCCCAGCAACCACATGGTGGCTCACAACCATCTATAATGAGATCTGGTGCCCTCTTCTGTCATGCAAGCATACATGCAGACAGAACACTGTATACATAATAAATAAAATTAAAAAAAAAAAAAAAAGAAGATAACTCTTGCCACATGTGGAGGCACCCACCTATGTTCTAAGCATTTGGAAGATAGAAGCAGATAGATCAGGAGTTTAACTCTTCTAGGCATTGTGGCTAGTGCCTATAATCATAGCACTTGACAGTACAGAGGCAGAAGGATCACGAGTTCAGGGACAGCCAGAGTAAGATTCTTTCTCAAAAAAGTTAAATAACTAAACTGTAATGTAGTTGCTTTCTTATAACAAAAATAAAACTCTTTTTTTCTAGGACTACTGAACAACAGCAAAGATTTCATGAAATCTGCAGTAATCTAGTAAAAACTCGACGCAGGGCTGTGGGCTGGTGGAAACGCCTCTTTTCTCTAAAGGAAGAGAAGCCTAAAATGGTATTTTGTTATTTATTTATTTTACTTACTGGAATGTGAAGCAAAGTACTGAAGTAAAAGACACATAAAAAACATTCTCAAGCCAGATGGTGGTGGCACGTGCCTTTAATCCCAGCACTCAGGAGGTAGAGGTAGGTGGGTTTGAAGCCAGCCTGGTCTACAGAGAAAGTTACAGGACAGCTAAGGCTGTTATACAGAGAAACCCTGCCTCAAAAAACCAAAAAGAAAACAACAAAAAACTATGTTATTATATTGTAGCTTTGATTTTGCTAACTGGAAAGGTAACATAGTTTATATTTTAAAGAGGAAATATATATACTTTCTATAAAAGAAAGGTAATTCCCAGCCTTTAAAAGAAAAGTGGTGGCCGGGCATTGGTGGCACACGCCTTTAAACCCAGCCCTTGGGAGGCAGAGGCAGATGGATCTCTGAGTTCGAGGTCAGCCTGGTCTACAGAGCGAGTTCCAGAACAGCCTCCAAAATAATACGGAGAAACCCTGTCTCGAAAAACAGAAAAAAGAAGTGGTTAAGCCCACAAGTGAAGCTGTATGTGTGTGGAGTACATCATGATGCTTTGGTCCTCTGTAGTGGTGAGATAAGCCTTCGTGCTCTGGTCACCTGTGCACAGTGTAGAGAGTGGTGAAGCAAACCTTCAGAGCTGCCCTCGTTAGTCTGCTGCTTAGAGCTGACAAGTTCTTGTTCTTTTCCTTAACAGTACTTCATGACCATGATCGTTTCTCTTGCTGCGGTTGCTTGGGTGGGACAGCAAGTTCACAACCTGCTTCTCACCTACCTGATTGGTAAGTCATTGAGGAACATCACACATGAGTCTTAACAGGGAAATCTGTAGTGTAGTCTATAAATAGATAAGTGAGTATTCATAGGACCTGTGGAAGAGTAGCAAGGTGAAGACTGAAGACTCCAGCCTGTGCTGGGGACATATCTCAGTTGGTAGAGTTCTTGCTCTGTGTGTTCCGAGCCCTAGATTTGATACCCAGTATTAGACAAAACTAATCCCAGAACTAAGGACTTAGATGCAGAAGGAGCACAAGTTCAAGATCATCCCTGGCTATGTGCCACATGTCACATTGACAATCAGCCTGGGCTACACGAGATTTCCCCCCTCCTTCTATCTCTCTCTATCTGTCTCTCCTCTCTATCTGTTCTCTCTCTCCTCACCCCCGCCCCCTCTTTGGCTTTTTCTCTCTGTTTCTTTCCAGCTTTGGAGGCTGTCCTGGAACTCACTTTGTAGACCACACTGACCTTAAACTCACAGAGATCCGCCTGTCTCTGTGTCCCAAATGCTGGGATTAAAAGCGTGCACTACAGCTGCCCTGCTGAGCTCTTTTCTCAAGGGCAAAAAGATTTCAAGTCAGGACTTAAGACTTCATGGCTAAAAGCACTTGTTTTTATTCTATGTCCAGCACTCACATGCTGGCTCACAACAGCCTATAACTCCAGTCTTAGGGAAATCACTTGTATACACATAAAATTAAAATAGCTTAAAGAGGTCTGACCCTTGATCTCAGAGACTTTATTAAAGCCTGTAGGAAGTAAAGACAAGGATGGTAAGATAGAAAGCATAGTGCATGGGCATGAATGCACAGGCCGCAGAAAGGCATGGTGGGGACTGAATCCTGATGGAACAGTGCATTTCATGTTGCTTCCCCCAGAGTCTACCTGCTTTTGTCTGTGACTTAAGTACTGCTTCCTCAACTTCATTTCTTTATTTCAAGTGACTTTTGCGCTGTTGCTTCCTGGACTAAACCAACACGGGATCATTTTGAAGTACATTGGAATGGCCAAAAGAGAGATAAACAAACTTCTCAAGCAAAAAGAAAAGAAAAATGATTAATGCAACTTGAGTGGAGTGTGCCCTGCCCCTGGGAACAGTTGCACAGTGCTGTCTGGATACTAAAATGTTACAGTGGCTCTTTCTTCCCTCACTCTGCCCTTGTTAATAGAGATTCACACAGGCTAGGCTTTGTGCCCTGTCTACTGCCAGGTGTAGCTGGGTATATTCCCGTCAGTATAACTTGTTTTATTGAACTTTTATTCTTATCAACTTCCTTTAAAATACTAAAGTGGTGAACTTTGCTCTTTTGTACAGTGAACTGTGACTTTGGGTAGTTGTTGATATTGGCTTTAGCTATATTCAAGGTAGTGGTCTGTGGCTACAGGAAGCTGGTTCTACTGTCTGCTTCCACAGTCTGCTTAACAAATCGTCTATCTCTGTGAGTACAGAGACCAGGTTTACCACTTTGAGACCACTTAAGATTCATTCCTGATTTCCCACTGTGGGAGAATGCCCATGGGATAGTATAAAAATCCACACCCTAGTTAGTGTGTGAGTTCCTCTCTTGTATGGAATATAGCAGCTTTAGGAAGCATTGCTCCTTTGTTCTCATGAGGAATCTGTCAGTTTAGACTGACCTCTCATTCCCTTTGCACTGCTTCAAGTTGTCCTTTAAACAGCTTTTGAACAACAAACTTCCAGAAGATTGTACTTGGAAATTTTAGCACTCTCTTTGTTCCAGATTTTCAGCTGACTTAAAATGTCTGGGACTTTACTCCTAGGCCAGCCAGGCATATAAATGTCCTCTTTGTTCTCTCTGAAAACTAGAACATCTATTAATTTTTAAGAGCAGGTGGGGGAGGGACCCTTTAAAAGTAAGCCCGGAAATTCTCATATATTCCCTCCCCCACTCCCCCACCCCACCTCCGCCCAGTAATGCTGGCTCTATTTCAGTGGCGCTCTGGGTTTACACGTGGGAGCAGTGTCTACACTGGTGTTTGACTTTCCCTCTGCAGGGTTGTAGCTGAGAGCAGACTGCTGATGGGTGACTGTTCTGTGTAGCGTCTGTAACTCCTTAAGTTTACTGTGATCACATGCCCTTTCAGTGGGTAGACTTTTAGAGCAGTTGAAGTCTGCAGGACTCAACCTCTGAGGGCCAAAATAGGACACATTGGGAACAACTCTTTAGCCCATGGACTGGCTGTAACAGAGTTTGTGGATCCGTTGCACTGATGCTGTGAAGCTGCACCTTGTGCATCTGTCTGCCTCTGTTTTGTCACCTCCCCTGCACTGTAAACAGTGGCACCTGTTGTAGCATGTGTGTGGTTTTGTTTCGTGACATCCACCTTCATTTTACATGTTTTCTTGTAAATAAGCCTGTCTTCCTACCTGGAGTTTTGTGTGTGTGTATGTGTGAATAATACATGTTCTACCAATTAACTACTTTGGCAGTTTTAATCATTTCTTCTACTTTGTTTTGTGTAAAAGGGGAAATAAAATAAAAAAAAAAGCTGGAACCTCTTTGTCTCAATTTTGTTGTTGACTGTTGAAATTTATGAATCTGATTAGTAACCTCCCTGTTGTCACTATAAGTCCTTGCCCTCTAAGGTACTCTTAAAAGGAACACCTGGACACGGTACTAGACAGAAAGGAAAACACTGAGACTCCAAGGTCTGAGGGGAGGGATCAGCAGGGACAGAAGAGGCTCAAAGAGCTTGTACTTTTTCCTTCCAACACAGGTGGTTGATGATCAATAAATGACTTGCTGCCTTTTGAAATTACACCTCAAGTTGGATGCCATAACTTGGGGTCTCAAGCTAAGGTCATCACTCTTGTGGTTGTCTGAGACTTTGAAATTGCTACCTTGTAATCTCAAGCCCAGCCTTGACTACATAGGAAGACTTGATTCAAAATCATAAAAAGAAACACTGGTCTTTAACCATGCATCTGTGGCAACTGCTCAGGTTAGCTATATGTGACTGAAACCATAGCCATCCTTTGTTACCTCCGGCCATAGCGTAAGTTCCCTTTTGAAGACTGGTCTGAGTGCTCTTGGGAGGGTCTATCTTTCCAAGGCTCATGTGGAGACATTTGGAAGGAAAGAGTGGTCTTTGGTGTATTTAGACAGTCTCAGAAGGCCCAGGCTGGCCTCAGATCTTCCTGCCTTCACCTCTCACGTGTGAGGATTCCAGTCCTGTGTCACTCCACCCATCCTAGTATTTAAAGGGTAGTTAAATGCTTATTTTCCACCAGATTCTATAGTTTCCCTCCAACAAATCAAGGATGTATGTCCGTTTCTGCAGGATTTTGTTCCACTTTCCTTCTGCCCAGCATCCTGAGTTTTCTTACCCATTTCTACACAAGTTCCCTCCTCTAGGAGCTCCTCATCAGTGTGGTGCCATCCAGATGCTTTGACTCACCAAGCCTACATAGCAAGAAGCCTGTGGGCTCAAGTAGGGAAGTCCTCACCAAGGAATCTAACTAGTATCCTCCCACCCTGCTGCCCGCCTCCACTTTGAATTCAAGTTTTCTTTTCTTTTGCAGCCTGTCCTGGAACTCGATCTGTAGACCAGACTGGTCTCAAACTCACAGAGATCCACCTGCCTCTGCCTCCTGAGTGCTGGGATTAAAGGCGTGCACCACCGATGCCCAGCTTCCTTAAATTTTCTTACCAGGTTCATTTAAGATGACAGTTATCTTACCTGTGAAATGGAGATAACATCACAGATCTCAGCATTTGTTAGGAGCTCAGCTTATGGAAGCAATTCCTTTAGGAAAGCTGTGGCAGGTAGCCTTCATCCTCTGCCTGTGTGGCTGTGGTCCTGTCTTGATTAGCTGTCTGTCTCTGGCTACAATTGGAGTTTCCTAAGGATTGGAGCTACAGTTGGCACATGCTTGGTACTCAGATGTCTGCTGAGTAAAAGGGAGATGCAGTATTCAGAAAGTGTACATTCTATGTCCTTCCTATGGAAAGAAAGCCCTTGGAAATAAGAGATGTTGGGACTGGAGAGATGGCTCAACTGTTAAGAGACTTGGTTGCTCTCTTCCAGAGGTCCTGAACTCAATTCCCAGCAACCACATGGTAGCTCACAGCCATCTATAATGTGATCTGATGCCCTCTTTTGGCATGTAGTCATATATGAAGACAGCACTCATACACATAAAATACATAAATCTTTGCCAGGTGGTGGCAGCAGGGCACACCTTTAATCCCAGCACTCTGCCCAGGAAGCAGAGATGAATCTCCATGAGTTCTGAGCCAGCCTGGTCTCCAGAGTGAGTTCTAGGACAGTTGGGGCTACACAAAGAAACCCTGTCCGGAAGAAAACAATGGCGACAACAAAACCCCTGAAAATAAGAGATGTTTCCCTAATTCTAGCCTTCTGCCAAGGCACTAAAGGGAAGCAAACTGCACATTTCTAGGAAACAGAGCAAGGCACGTGTACGAGGAGATAGTATGTCAAGAGAATTGGGGAGGATGATGAGTTCGAGACCAGTCTGTACTCCATAGCCATACCTGTGTTTAAAATCCTAATAAACCTTGGGGGAAAAAGCCATATGGTCCTTGTGTTTTGAGCGATATGATAGGCAATGAAGATTCCCATGAGATGAGAGACTCTGCTGGGACGCTGAGGCAATGCTCACTGCTCAAAGCAACTCAAGTGGTTGGTGGTATCATCTCTATTTTAATGATGGGAAACTGACTTGTCTATCAGCTATGTATTGAGGGCCTAGTGTGTGGCAGATGCCTTTATACACTTTGTGCCCACAGCAATGAACAAATCTTTGTTTGTTTGTTTTGGTTTTTCGAGACAGGGTTTCTCTGTATTGTTTTGGAGGCTGTCCTGGAACTCGCTCCGTAGACCAGGCGGACCTCGAACTCACCGAGATTTGCCTGCCTCTGCCTCCGGAGTCCTGGGATTAAAGGTGGAATAAAGTTTATTAAACCTCTGTTGGCCAGGCGTTGGTGACGCACGCCTTTAATCCCAGCACTCGGGAGGCAGAGGCAGGCGGATCTCTGTGAGTTCGAGACCAGCCTGGACTACCAAGCGAGTTCCAGGACAGCCTCCAAAGCCACAGAGAAACCCTGTCTCGAAAAACCAAAAAAAATAAAAATAAAAAATAAAAAAAAAACAAAATAAACCTCTGTTGGCTTGAAACTTAATAGTCCAGGCTAGGAGACAATCGATTCGTTTCTGGTGTAACCCCAGTTTCCAGGCAGGTGAGGTAGAGGGATCACTAATCTGAGGCCAACTCGGGCTACATAATAAAAGACTAAAGAATGGGAGAAGAAAAAGTGTACCATGGTAGTAATCCCACTTGCGATGCTGAGTCAGGACTACATGAATCTGGGGACAGCCTGGAGCATGCTGGTGAGTTCCAGCCTCCAAAGGGCAAACGCCATTCAAACCAAAACCGCCGGGTACTGTGGTGCAGGCCGTTAATCCCAGAACTAGGAAGCAGAGCCAGGTGGATCAGGCAGGTAGAAATCAGCCTGGTCCAGACAGATCCAGCACAGTCGTAGCTACCTAGTGAGTTTAATTATCTCAAACAAAAAAAAAAAAAACCAAGGAAATGCCCGCCGTGGTGTTAATGCCAGGACCCTAACTGAGGCAGAAGGACTGCAGCGATTTCCAAACTAACCTGAGCTACAGCGCAAGACCTAAACAGTTAAGAATTCAGTCCTCCCATTCGAAACCTCCCCGCCCTCGCATCGATCGTCCTATAAGAAATCACCCACACTATTTTTTTTTTGGGTGTGTGACCATGAAGTCTCGCGATAGCATTTCCGCTTCCCATAACTCCGTGCGTTCGGCCGTCCCAGCCTCTTTCCGCCATCTTTCCGCGCCGGTGAGTTCATCTCTGTGAAGCTCCGTGTTCATCCACCGGCATCCGCGCTATCCTTGTGCCCGGGGCTCGGCTTCGGAGTCCCGCAGGCACTCTGAGCCCTGCCGTGGTCGCAGCCTCCGCCTGTCGGGTCGGGAACGCCATGAGCCGCGCCCTGTGGGAGCTGGCCGACGGCTGCAGGCAGAGTTCCCCTCTGCCCGGGCCGGCTGGGACGGTGGCCGGCGTGGGCCTTGCGGCTTCTCGTGTCTGCGGGCGCCCTGGAGTTCCGGGCATCCCGCGTAGCCGTGGCCAATATTGGCATTGGGGTTTCTGCCCAGCCATTCACAGCTAAGTTAGGGAGTCAAGTCGGGGTTTACGGTTGGCACGTGAAACATGCCTTGGCTGCGTCTCTACGAGCGGTGAGAGCAGCCCTGCCTTCCAGGAAGCCGTTTGGGTATCACGTAAAGCTGCTCCTGGGAGGGGTTTTGTCGGAAGTGTGTTAAGTGGTTACCTGAAAATGAGTTGGTTATTGGCAAACGTTGTTGAGACTTCTGAACTAGTGACAGTCTCCCCTTTCCGTTTGGCTGTTAAGTCCCATTGTTTCTCAGGTTATCTTTGTAATGTGCCTTTGTGTGTGTCGTTTTCTCCAGCTGTTGTGCTGGGAGGTGTGAACGTGAATGTCTTGAATGAATAGATTATGAGTGCGGGAGAAGAGTCAGCAAGTCGTAATGAACTTTTCCTGGGTGTTGGGAATGTTGCTTAGACCTAAGGAAATTTATTGGTGGGAATGGTGGGAGTAGGACAAATTTCAGAGGCATGATTGGATGTTGATACAAGCAAACCCTATCATTCCCTCAGTCACCATGGTGCGTATGAATGTCCTGGCTGATGCTCTGAAGAGCATCAACAATGCTGAGAAGAGAGGCAAACGCCAGGTCCTCATCAGGCCCTGCTCCAAAGTTATCGTTCGGTTCCTGACTGTGATGATGAAGCATGGTGAGTATTGGCGTCTTGACTTTTTGACAGTAAGGAAGTTGTCCTATGGGTTCCCATGGCAGAGTATGGACTTAATGTCACAGGTCACTGCAAGCCAGTTGGGCAGGAGAGGTGATCCTAGTGACTGGCCATTGGGAGTGTACCACTGAACACTGGGGAGGGTGGGGGAGATGGTCATGCTAGAAATGGTTTTCAGTGTCAACTCCTAAATTCTTACGTGTTGTGGAGTTTTAAGAATTATCTGCAGAATCAGGTGCAAGGGAGAAAAATGGAGGCAAGAAGTGGTGTTTGGGCATGCAGCTTAGGGCTAGTGCCTTTGGTTTGATACTAGTCACTTGGTTTTCAGGTTACATTGGTGAATTTGAAATCATTGATGACCACAGAGCTGGGAAAATAGTGGTGAACCTCACAGGCAGGTTGAACAAGGTAAGACTTGCTTGTCTCTTTAAAGACGCTTATCCTCACTTTGCATTTGTCTGCAAGTTACATGTATTGCTGTCAACCTTGCTTCACTCCCAGATTTAAGGGATTGACTAAGATGGCTTTTTAAATACTACATGTCAATTGTTGCTTGCTCAAGTTTCTGGTTAGTTTGGTGTAAGATAGAGCTAGGCCTTGGTAATCCAGCTGACTTACTGATTACAGTAGCTTCATGTTTAGTATGTAAACAATTTGTTAGTACTGGTGGTGTGCT